CGCCTGTGTTCCGCTGATCCCTCAGAAAGTCCTGCAGCATGGTTTTCACCTTCTCCTTGCTGCCCTTCTTGGCTATAACAGAGCCCTGCTTCAGCTTGTCCAGCACCTGCAGCTGTTTCCGCAGCGGCGCCACATGATGCTTGCAGCCCTTCAGATAAACCTCCAGCAGGAGGCCGAATCGCGTCTGCATTGAGGGCGTTTGCATCTCGGATCGCAGATGCCAGAAGAAGTAGTGGCCGATACGCTGATTGCGCAGCGCTCGCTCCAGCAATAACACAACCAGATCACTCTCCAGATACGATTCGTGCTTGATGGCCTGCACCAGTTGAAGCAGATACAACAGCAGATCATCATCCCTATCAAGTGCAATAAAATATAGTAAAGGTATTGTTGATTGAGTGGGGGCCTCCTTACTTGAGAATTTGTAGACACTTGATTGCAAATCGACGTACAGCTGGATCCGGATAGGCATAGTCCAGCAATTCCAGTGATCGTTCAATCGAGATGAGCGGCCACCGCTTGAGGAGGTACCAAATGTCGGCCACATCATCGCGCTCCTTCCAGTACACGCAGTGCAACAGTATCGGCAGCTCTTCTGGCAATTCGCGCAGGATATCATTCCTAAAAAAGATCGATCACACATTGTAGAATTAATGGAAGTTGTGGAGTGGTTTGACTGGTATTTACCTGCGCTCCCAAATGGCATTGCGATCCTGGTCCACCATCTCATAGATCTTGTCCAGGCCGGTGTAGTTGGTGAGCAACTCCTTGAGGTCTTTCAGTGGTTTCTCCGGCTCCGCCGGCTGCTGTTGCTTCTCACGTAGGCTGGCCACTGCCCGATCCGCTGCATATTGCAGGACAGTATTCTCGCAGGGATAGCGCACGGATTCGGCGCCACTGCTGTGGAATGTAACGTGCACCAGGGCGCACTCCTCCTTGCGCGGATTCGGTTCGATGGTGCCCAGCGGATGGAACACCTCGTCCGACTGTATATCGTCCGCATATGTCCACGTGTACAGCACCTGTCGGCCAGTTCGCAAATGATCCTTGTAGTCTAAGAGCGTTGTGTTGACCCAGGCCAGGGGATTCTTGTTGTACGACACATCCTTCTGGGCGTTGTCCTTATTGTTGGATGACTTTTTGGAGCGCGACAACTTGGTCACCTCAAAGATGACGATGCAGAGCCGCGTCATGCGCGGCAGATTGCGCATCTGTATGTCAAAGTCCATGATCTGATCGTTGAAGAGGAACGTGTCGGAGCTGCCATTGGGCGCATCTATCGATCGCTGCGAGCACAGCTTGTGCTCGCCATGATAGAGACCCACATCCACGCCCACGCGAAACGCCCGTGTTTTGTCGTAGTTGACATTGCTGATGCTGTGGAGCGTCAGCTGGAAGTAGTTGCCCAAGTCCCACAGCGACGTGGGTGCCTTGTGGAGCACTACAGGTCGCTCCTTCTTGGGCGCACGCTTCAGGCCCATGCTCTGCTCGTTGTGGTGATTGATGTACGACTCCAGCCGGATCACAGACTGCAGCACCACATTGGGCACCGCCGAGTCCGAGAGCGCCTCTTGTATGTAGAGGAACTGTATCAGGGGATGATCCCCGAACAGATACTCATCGCGGCCGCTCACTTTCAGTATATAGTCGCCGGCGCGATCGTTCATCTTCATCTGCGATCGGTTCATCTTCTGCAGCGTGCTCTCGATCAACGAGAACGGTGTGTCCTTCTCCATGACGGACAGCGTGAACGTGCTCTGATCGTTCTCGTTCTTAACAACTATCAGAAAGGCAGATGTCGGATGACGCTGACGTATTAGCTCGGGCATATCTACCGATCCGGCCAGCCTCAGGGGATGCTCATAGAGGAGACGCTGCTGCCACGTAAACTGGGATCGCTCCACCTCTATGCTCTCGCAGAGGTCTGTCATGCTGCGCCTAAAGTCATCGATCTCGGGCGTGCCTTGGGTTCGGTGATGATCGAATGAGTTGCCAATCATGCCGCTGACCATCTTGGTTAGTTCATAGTCGCTGGAGAAGCTGGTGGCATCGGTACGGTCGCCCAGGGTGAGTAGACCAAAGTAGGGCTGGACTTCGCACAGGCGCTTCGTCTCGTCCGTGTAGGGTTCGATGTTGAACACAGAGATTCCGTAGAACTGGTAGTCGCACGCATCCTTGATCATATAGCCCAGGTAGTTCTGCTTCGCCAGCTTAACGACCTCCACCTTGATCTCCCGTATTGTCGTCGACGAGGGGGCCTTCAACATCAGCATGGTACCATTAGGGATCATGCATATGAGATCGACATAGTCGGGCGGATCGTTCTTCCAAAGATTAATGGAGAATCTCATGTCGGATAGGTCGTACTCTGTCACGGGCATACCGCAGCCGGAGTCCGTGTGTGAGTGCACTACATACGACGATTGCCGGTCATCCAGCATACCGCCAGGATGATGGTGATTGTGGGAAACGGAGGCGGTGCGGTTCATCGTTGCTCTGATCTCAACCAGGTGCATACCCCTCCCCGGGTGAAGTACTAAGTTTCTGGTTCACTTCTGTATGGTCTCTCTCTCGGGTTTCCCCGACGTTGCATGCAATTATTAGTTTTGTTGTTTTTGTTGTTGTTTTCGTCCTGTCGTTATCACCAGACTCTGCCTGTTTGTTGTTTTTAATGTTTTCCATTTAAATCAGCGCCGCAATCTCATTGTTAGTCATGCCGATCTCTGTGAATAATAAAGTTGAAGGTGGCGTCGGGTTATTGAATGGAATGGCGATTATCGGCACTGTTCAATTACGGAAATTACCCGCCCGCCCATTCGATAACCGCCAGAAGAAACCGCTGTAAATGTAGGCGTTCGGTTCGGTTTCGTTGCATTGAGATCCGGAAACATTCGGTCGTATCTGGTCGCCTTTAACGACCATCGGGATTATAAGTTGGATATATTTTCATGCCGCCACACATTAAATTTTAACAAAATTGGGGGCATAACTAAGCATCCTACGTAAATGAAAACTTCTTCGGAACTAATAGAAAAACGTTGACTTTATATTTAGTATGAATCACACACACAAGACATACGCCAGCTGAGAGGGGGAGGGCGGTGTGGCGGCGACCTTAAACACAAAAACAAGAATAAACCACGATGGCCCATGCCAATGGTCAACATTCAATACACTATCCGGGCAACGGCAGAGAATATCGCAGGGGTACCTTTTGCGGATTTGGTGGAATTTTATTTGTCAGTGAGATTTCCAGTGAAGAACTTATATAGGACAGTAAATATTTAATTCTGGCCTCGGTTTCGTCCTCGCCAATTTAAATTCCATTACAGAACAGGTGTATCTAGAGCTCGCGGAAGGGTATCTACAGTTACGCGGCACCGATGTCTCATCTCTAAGTCGGGATGCCACAAAAAAAAACACACACACACACACTCATATGCAAAGGTCCGTGGAAATGGAAATTGCAGCCACCAGGAAAAGCAAACGCCAAGGGACCTAGCACCGCCCTAATTTTCCCCGCCACCCCGTTAAGCAGATCATTGTTAGTCATTATATTCGACCGCATTTGTTTTTGTTTTTGATATCTTCTCCCCTTTTCGTCTCACTCTCAGTTTCGACATCTTTATCACATTTTTTTATTTTTATTTTTGGGTGTGAGCTGCGCAATTGTCGCAATTTACTTGTATTCCGGCACCGGCATCCACTCATATTTACGATTTGCCATAACCGGATGTAGCTGTATTTGACGCACGCAATATTTTTAATACGAATTTTTTGATAAATATTGTTTGTTATTTGCGATCAGTGTGACCGCGGACTTACCGATAAAATATACCGTCTGACCCTCAGAAATATGCCAAAATATACCTTCTCATTTTCATAATATACCGAAGAATATGAGTCCATCAAGGTCCATTTCCCCGATTTTAATATTCGGATTAGTAACTACTAATTACTGGAGCGCTCAGCACTGATCAAATAATTGGACACGACAAACTGATTAGTTTCCTAAAAGATTTGGTTATTTTTAGTACTCATTTCCATTTGATTATTCATAAAATAAGGTTTAATCAAAGTAAAGAAATGGTGTTCTGATGGCAAAGCTACAGCTTTTACATAGTAACTACACGCTAACTACACATTTGCTACAAAATAACTATATATCTATGTAAAGAGACCTCTAGCGAGGAAATGGGTAATACATATACTGATTATTATATCGATATTTAATGTTAGCCAGTAGAGTTGCCAGATACTGCTAAGAAACATCGATGTTTGCGTCCATCGATGCTTTACCACCTCTAGTAAAAAAGGTAAACAAAGTGAAAAAAGAAATGTAAAAGTTGTTATAAAAAATGTTTAAAATTAGTGACGAAACTCTAAAGTAAAGAAGAGTGAGCAATGTATTAGATGCAAGCCATTTTACAAAGCGATGAGCGACTCCGATGAAGGTACGAAAATAACTCTGAGTCACAAATGCAGAAATAAACGCTTTCCATATACAAAATATGCCCATATTCATCATTCGTGCGATGTGTGGGAGTGTGTGAGCATATTGAAAGCTATTACTCGCATGAACTCACAGACAGGCCATTAAATTTCCCCCTGTAAAAATGTTATTGGTTTTTCAAAAACACGAACAAGTGTGACCCCCCCGCCACTATAGCTGTCAATGAAGCGCGCCAAGATTGTAATTTGAAATTGCTCCTCCACACACACCCTATCACATCCATGTGAGATGTGGAGCGCAACTAGTGCGCTTCGACCAATGGGCCATTTGACACCCAAGCAGAAAACCCAAGCCGACGCTTTCAAATCAGTGACGGACGGGGACGGTGGTTCTTGACCAGCCGCAACAGTTGCTTTTACTCGTCTTGCGCAGTGGTGCGACAGTCTATGGGCTTTGGATCAACGACCACGGAACGATAGCGTGGCATGGCCCCGGCCGTATCAATGACAGACTCCAATCGATTTTCCAGTCCTCAGTTCAGTTTTCACCAGCGCCCTGTTCAGATCGCATTTATTTGCTGTCCAATCGTTGCTTTAATTTATGTGGCTTGGCTGTCGGTCGGGGGCTGGCTGGGAATGATTGCATAATGTCCTGGAAATTTGTGGAGCAGCCCAAGCCGGGCACAGAAACAGCTCTAGAGGCCTGCGACTATTTCGTCGATGAGGTCACATACGTCTCGTGTGGCCCAGGAGGGCGCAGACCTGGTAGAGGAGGGGAGGGGTGTTGGCTTTATTATCCATATGCTTAACCTAAATACGTATTTCTTTTCTTTGTGTGGATAGATGCCCGGGAGGAGGTGCGACAGATCAAGCATGGAGAGCTCAGGGCGGCTGTTATCGAGGGGGATGAGCGCACGGTTCGTGTCCTTCTGTCGGCGCTGGGAACCGAGCGGCAGATTATAGTCAATATGGCACCATCCGGCGCCAACACGCTGCTCTTCACGTAAGTAGCCAGATGTGGCATCCCATCCACCGCTCCAGCGCTCCTAACTCAACCATCATCATCAATTATTATTTTAGAGCCTGCCAGTCTGGCTATGAGAGCATCACCCAACGACTGCTGGACGCCGGGGCTGATGGACGATCCCATGCGGTGACAAAGTATTCCCCGCTGTATGCAGCCGTCCACAGTGGCCATCTGGGCATCGCCAAGCTGATGCTTGACCGATTTCCAGAGCTGATCCAACAGCCGACAGTGGAGCGCTGGCTACCCCTGCACGCGGCCTGCATCAATGGCCACATCAAGCTGCTGGAGCTGCTCATTGGCTACAAATATCCCGACTACCTCTATCAGACATATCGCGACGAGGAGGGCCAGTGGGAGTGGCGACTGCCCTTCGATGCCAATGCCCATGATGTGACGGGGCAGACGAGTCTCTACATAGCCAGCATTTTGGGCAACAAGCAACTGGTTGGAGTCCTGCTCAAATGGCAGCTCCACTGCAGACGCACGCTGGGCGACTCTCGCAGTTCGGTTAGCACTCCCATAACACCGACCAGGAAGCGCATTTCCTTTGGCATCCAAGCCATCATGTCAAAGCTGCATATATCCGGCGAAGCGGAGGCCCTGGAGGAGCAGTCACCGGCAGAATCGACAGAATCGCAGCGTTGTCCCATCAACGTGAATTTGTTGGGCGGTGCTGCGAGAGAAACGGCTCTGCTGGCTGCGGTCCGTGGCGGGCATTTAGATGTGGTGCAGTCGTTGCTGCAGCATGGGGCCAATCCGAACATTGTGGCCAAGCCCGTGGAGGATCAAAACGATCCCAAGTGCAGCGAGGAGATCTACGGGCTGAGCAATGTCCCGATTGCCGAGGCCTGCAAGCAGCGCTCCCTGGCCATGCTGGATCTGCTGCTAAAGCACGGCGCTCGCGACGACAATGGCTCAGCCATCAGCATGGCCCTGGCTGGTGGCGACGAGGCAATTTTGAGTCGCCTGCTGGCGCGTCGCGTTCACCCGGACTCGGACTACAAGATCAACAAGAAGGGACTGCCCACACCGGTGGAGGTGAATGTGTTTCTGCCCTCCACGAGCAACATATCTACAACCTACAGCGCCATGTTCCCCAATGTGCCCACCATCGTCGACTGGCATAGCCTGAGCTCAAGCGTTCAGCTGACAGTCGTGCGGGTGCCTTGGCTCGTCAGTGGAGTGCTGCTGCTGAATCCCAAACTGCAGTCCCATCCCAGGCTCACCGAGGTGTCGCTGACTGCCATCACACGGATCGACTTCTCGCATAATCTGCTCACGACCATTCCCCAGGAATTGCTCCACCTGGTTAGCCTCAAGTACGTGTTGAATGATGCACTTGGTACACACTCCCAAAATGTAATGCTCTCTTTCTCCCTTCCAGATATCTAAATGTGGCCCAGAACAAGATCACCGAGCTGCCTGCGCCCATGGGCAAGGCGTACAGCTGTCCCGTACTGGACGAGCTCTTCCTGCAGGACAATCAGCTGACAACTCTGCCAGCTGCCATTTTCCATCTGCCTGCATTGAGCATTCTGGACATCTCGAATAATAAGCTGCAGGAGCTGCCATTCGATCTGTGGCGCGCTCCCAAGCTGCGCGAACTGAATGTGGCCTTTAACCTGCTCAAGGATCTGCCGGTGCCGCCCATGCAGACAAGCAGCTCGGTCTGGAGCCTGGACAAGCTGCAGCTGCAGTCCTTTGATGAACCCGCCTCGAATAAGCCGCGCAACCTGACCCAGCAGGAGCTAACACATCGGAATATTTGGTCCGCTTCGCTGGAAATCGCCGATAATGACATGAAATGGCACCAGGACCAGGAACTGGGTGACGGCAAGGCCCCTGGGGCAGGAGCTTCACAGTTGAGCAGCCTGAACATAGCCAACAATCTGTTCAACAGCATTCCCGCTGCCCTGCCCTGTCTGGCAGTCAATCTGACCCGCTTGAATATGTCCTACAACAGTCTGCGTTCCATGGGTCATGTGACCAGCTACCCTGCCACGCTGAAGCAGCTGGATCTGAGCCACAATGAGATCTCCTGCTGGCCCAGTCTGCCTCGCATAACCGAATCAGATCCGCATTTGCTGTGCTACAGCTACGTCCAGGTGCCGGAGGGTCAGGAGGAGCCCACCTATAAGTCATCAGCGTCGAAGGGCAACGCCTCCTCCTTCCGCGCTTCGGTGCTGAAGAGCGTCTGTCGCCACAGACGCCACCTACGCTTGGAGGCGTTGCGCACTCTCATCCTGGCGGACAATTTGCTCACGCGGATTCAGCTATCGACTGACGATGCCACAACCCTTTTCAATGAGAGCGAGGACGCAGACTGGAGTGTGGTGGGGGTGAGCAAGTCCAAGGTGATGTTTCCAAATCTCTCCATGCTGGACATGACCAACAATTGCCTTAAGGAGATCCCACCATCGCTGCACGAGCTGAGCAGCCTCTCGGTGCTGAATATAAGCGGAAACGTGAACATAACGGAGCTGCCACCCCATCTGGGACTGCTCTCGAGGCTGTGGAATCTCAACACACGCGGCTGCCTGCTGCAGGAGCCACTGCGGTCGATGATCGATAGCAAGAAGCACAAGACAATGGACATTGTGGGCTACCTAAAGTCCATCTACGAAGATGCCCAGCCCTATGCGCGGATGAAGCTCATGGTAGTGGGTGTGGCCGGCATAGGCAAGAGTACGCTGTTGGATTTGCTGCGCCAGGGTGTGGGATCGGGGTCCAGCTCCAGCTCACATCGGTCCCGAGCCAGTGAGAATCACTGGGCCAAGAGGATGGGCCATGCGCGTAGTACGTCCCGCTCTCAGCGACATTCTTCTACCTCAAACTCAAACATATCCACAGTGGGCGTGGACATTGGCACCTGGATATGCGAGAAGCGGAAGCGATCTCCCGGCTCGCACGGTCCAGTGGTCTTTCGCACATGGGACTTCGGTGGACAGAAGGAGTACTATGCCACGCATCAGTACTTCCTCTCCAAGCGCAGCCTCTATCTGGTTCTGTGGCGCATCAGTGACGGCCACAAGGGTCTGGCAGAGCTGCTCCAGTGGCTGGCCAATATACAGGCACGAGCTCCCAACTCGCCCGTCATCATTGTGGGCACCCATTTCGATGCAGTGGGCGAGTCCATCTCCGCCCAGCAAGCCGAGCACCTGCAGCAGCTGATTCGGGAGAAGTTTATTGCGATACCGGATGCAGAAAAGATCGGGCTGCCGCGTGTGATTGACTCAATTGAGATAAGCTGTCGGTGAGTGTGTGTTCTCCAAATCCATATCCATATCCAGCCGTAAAGGTATTCAAATACTGACTGACTGACTCCTTGCAGCACATTGCACAACATCCATTTACTCGCCAACATCATCTACGACACCTCGATGCAACTGCGCTCGCCCGGCTCCAAGGAACCGATGCTCCTGCAGAAAATCCCTGCTAGCTACATTGCCCTCGAGGACATTGTCCATGTGATTGCCTGCAATTTGCGGGCGGCGGGTCGCGATCCAGTGCTGGATGCTGAGCAGTATCGCCGCCTGATCACCGAGCAGATGCGTATGCACAACTATAAAAGCTTTCGGGATGCCGCTGAGCTGCAGCAGGCCACCACCTGGTGCCATGAGAATGGAGTCCTGCTGCACTACGATGATGCCACCCTCAGGGACTACTATTTCCTCGATCCGCAGTGGCTGTGCGATATGCTGGCGCATGTGGTTACGGTGCGCGAGATTAATCCCTTTGCGCCGACGGGCGTTATGAAGTTGGATGATCTGCAGCTGCTGTTCCGCAGTGTCCAGGTTCAAGGGAACGGCATTCGCAGGTGAGTCGAAACCTAATTGCAGCTCTCCTTAGACTAATTTCTCGCCTCTCTCTGGCCTTCAGTTATATTGTCAGTTTGTTGAACAAATTCGAGGTGGCCCTGACCTGGGACTCGCGTACTCTACTCATTCCCTCCCTGCTGCCACTGCAAGAGGGGGCCACGCCCAATACTGGCACTACGGTGAAGTTGTCGCAGCGTTCACGTGGCCGCAATTTGGGTTGCTCCGTCTCGCAGGAGCTGAATCTCAACAATCTTATCTACGAGCAGCGTTCGCACCGCACTTCACCATCTACTTCGTCAGCGGCCAGTCAAGGACTGCGTCGCATTCTTCTCATGACGTATTTCCCCTCGGGCTTCTGGTCGCGCCTGATCACACGGATACTTGCCGATGAGCAGATCGTTGAAGCCATCCGAAGCGTCTATGTGGCTGCCCCAGACGTAAGCAGAAACTGTTTATGCTTCTGTTTCTTTTCCCATTCATAGACTCTGGCTCTCTTGTTCCAGAAATGCGTAGAGTTTGATTTACGCCTCTCACTGGAGCAGGACACACAGTGGAATCTGTGGCAGACGGGCCTAGCTCTGTATTATGGAGCCATCATGATCTTTCGCATCTGGGAGGTGCCCTTCCAGTGCAACGAGCGAACGCAGCCTTTCCGCACGGCAGGCAACCGATTCAAGCTCAAACTGGATGGCATCTGGAGCGATGTCAGCTTGAGCTCCTCGAGCATTTTGGAGGTTTACTTTCCCCTCCATCATGTGAACATCTATCAGGAGCTGGACGACGGAGAACGTCAATTGCTGGCCGAGCTGCAGCCGCACATGTCGCAGGTGGCGAAGCTCTTGGCGCTGACTGTGGATCACATCGATTTGCTGCTGGAGGACTGGTATCCGTCGTTGGGCACCCGGTTTGTGCACACTTCTGAGGGTCGCTTCCTGATCAGCCGCATGGTGTTGTGTCCACGCTGCCTCCGGAAGCTGCAACAGCAGCACAGCAATGAGCCCGCGGACCGAGAGATGCCTGCCCTGGGATGCAATAGACCGAGTCGTAGTGGCAGACGCGGCGCTGGGGCATACTTCCTGCACGGCGTTGGCGATCCCGGGGATGATGGTGCACTGAATGTCTTCTCCGCTTATCTTAATGCAACAGCGCGGAGGGAGCGACGTTCCGAGGATTCTCTGGGGGCAGGGTCGGATGCGGACTCCGGTGTGGGTCCCGATTCTGCCGGCTCCTCCCGCAACACATCCGTGGACGGACACCCGGGCTACCATTTGCCGGATAATTCCAACGTTTGCTACGCCTGGATGATCGAAGAGTGCATCCTGTCCGTGTACAATCAGAGTAAGCTTAGCTGCCCCGTGCATCTGGAGCAGTCGATGGCCCAGCTGGCGCCCGATGTGATCTTCGCCGATATTCCCGACAAACACACCATCGCCACGGAGTGCATCATCAAGGGCTCGCTCCTGGGTCGCGGTGCTTTTGGCTTTGTGTTCAAGGCCAGCTGCAAGCTGAGAGGCGCGCGATCCTTCAAGCCTGTGGCCATGAAAATGCTTCAGCCAGTGCCGCCTGGCTCCCGAGCCAAAGAGGTGAGTCATTGCATTTACGGATAGCACATTTATGCTTATGGACTCCATGTTCATTTTTCTTGCAGAGCGCTCTGATGGCCTACAAGGTGGCATTGGGAAAATGGGATCGGGATCCCTTGCAGCACTCCTGCAAGGCGTATTGTACCGCCCGGCAAGAGCTCGCCGTTCTGCTCACCCTCAAGCATCCCAATATTGTGCCCTTGGTGGGGATTTGCATTAAACCACTGGCCCTGGTGCTGGAGCTGGCACCGCAGGGCAGCTTGGACGCTCTGCTCCGGCAGTACCGGCGCAGCGGAGCTCACATGGGTCCGCACACTTTCCAGAGTCTGGTCCTGCAGGCCGCACGGGCCATTGAGTATTTGCATCGTAGAAGAATCATCTACCGAGATCTGAAGTCGGAGAATGTGCTGGTCTGGGAGCTGCCGCAGCCGCACACCGAGGACAGTCCCCGCAACCATGTGCACATCAAGATTGCCGACTATGGCATTAGCCGGCAGACAGCGCCCAGCGGAGCCAAGGGCTTTGGCGGCACCGAGGGATTCATGGCACCCGAGATAATACGCTACAACGGCGAAGAAGAGTACACAGAGAAGGTAAGTCGTGCGTTGATTCCACCATTACACAGCAGTCAGTCATATGTGTGAGTGTTGTGCTTGTTTCCAGGTCGATTGCTTCTCCTTTGGCATGTTCATCTACGAGAACATAAGCTTGCGACAGCCGTTTGAGGGGCACGAGTCCATTAAGGAGTGCATCTTGGAGGGCAGCCGACCGGCACTCACCCAAAGGGAGACTCAGTTTCCGAGCTGCTGCCTGGATCTCATGGTGCTCTGTTGGCACGAGCAACCGCGTCGTCGTCCCACAGCGAGTCAGATTGTGTCCATACTTAGTGCACCAGAGTGCATCCATTTACTGGATGTGGTGGCCCTGCCGCACGGCGAAAAGATTGTCTGCGGTGTGTTTCAGTCGACGGTTGGCATGGGCGATGATGAACGATCCGGCTTGGAGCTGTGGCTTCCCGCTTTCGGAAACCGCATCGACATACTTGATTGCACTCCCTCCGGCTGCCTGGTGCAGTGCAACAGCATCAGTTGTGCTCCACAGCCGCAGGTTGGCCCACCCAAGACCCCCGAGAGCGGCGCCCAATCCCGTTCCCGGTCTGCGCAGCGCCAACCCAAGATGAACATGCTCTGCTGCTGCCTGGTGGGCGAGGCCATCTGGATGGGTGACGTTTCCGGCAACCTGCACGCCTATAGTACCACCACCTACGCCCATTTGTTCTCCTACATGCTGGATCCGGCCATCAAGTCGGCTGTGGTGAGCCTCGTCTACATGGAGTTGATTGCCCGCGTTGCCGTGGGCCTGCACAATGGTCGAGTGTTCCTAGTCGATGCCACAATGATGCCCAGCAACTGCGCCTTTGCCGAGGGCTCCTTTGTGCTTACGGAGATCTGTTCCGGCTTTGTATTGCACGCTGCCTGCTCAGTTCTTGTCGATGGGTGAGTTGGACACAATCATTGGCAACCCAGGTATAACCAGGTATATTGTGTATTCCTTTCAGGACTTATGAACTTTGGTGCGGTGAAATAGCCGGCAAGATAAATGTATTCCCGCTGAGCGAGTCGGGAGTTAGTGGCCATCAGGCGCTGTGTCACAGCGAGGAGCCCAATCTAATTGAGGATGTGAAGGTGGCTCGCCTGTGCAGCAATGAGAGCCACGTCTTCAGTTGCCTCTATCCCGGCTGCATGGTCTACCAGTGGGGCGTGACCTCGAAGCGCATCGAGAACAAGTTGGACTGCTCCAAGCTGCTGCCGTGCTCCGAGTCGCTGCAGAGCATCGCCATCGATGAGCACGTGAGCCTCATCAAGTGCCAGATTTCGGCTCTGGCGGCGCACAACACAGAGCTGTACATAGGCACCACTTGGGGATGCTTGATCGTGGCCGAGCTGCAGACGCTGCGTCCCATAAGTGTTTTCCGACCCTATGAAAATGAGGTAAGCAAGTGCAGCCTGCCTTTCAGCCCTGAGCTTTGACTCTAGCCCTTCTTTTTTTTGTTGTTAGATAAAAGCCATCATAACGCTTTCAAATGACAAGGTGCCGTTGATCGCCACCATTGGGCGTCGGTATCGCTCTCTGATCTCCCGCTACGTGGACTCGGCTGAGCCCTCCAATGCGTGCTCTGCAGTCAGCACACCCACACATGGTGCCGCGAAGTCCTTGCCGCCAGTTGATGTTGATAATCATATCCATTGCCTGCTGTGGCGCGCCAAGCACTGGACCTAGTAGACCCTAGTAGATCTCAACGACGACTTCGGCGCATTGTTAAAGTATTCCTAATCCACTTACACGCGTACACATTATTGTTGGCACTCGCTGGACTCTGGCTAGGATAGGAATAGGACTAGGGATAGGGATCTTCCATCCAGTTGCATAATTGCTGCTTTCTTTGCTTCCAGTGACGTCTATCCCCAGTGTCTGCTACACACAACACACAAACATTCCATTTTTCATAATAAAATTTAATAAAATTACTCATAGAATCTCATGTGTCCGCCGAGTCTTGGGCCATGGATGCCACCGACATGGACGACTGACGGCTGCGCGAATAGATGGAGGCGGAGCTCTTCAGCACCCTCACATAGTTGTTGAAGTCAATGACGAACTGGAACTCCTCCTTTAAGGCCTCACGCAACGGCACCTGGCAGAGAAATGGATAGAAATCGTAAGACTGCTGCTCTGGCTGGAGTGGCGAGAGTGGATGACCTACACGATAGTGGTGGGCCTTCTTCATCACAAACAACACCCAGCTGATGATCCCGTACAGCAGGGCGCAGCAGCTGCCCACGAGTAAAACGAAAAACACGCCCTCCAGGTTGTTCATGTCCAGGGGCGTGGCATCGGGTGTATCCTCTTTGGTGGCGCAAATGCCAGTGCCCACCTCATTCCACCACTTGTTCTTCATTTTCTCCAGCACACCTTGCTCCTGCAGCTCCAGTAGAGCATTGTTGAACTTATCCCGATGCGGCCAATCTAGAATTTGGATGATACATGTGGATGCTACATGAGGAGACAGAGAGAGAGAGAGAGATTAGCTTACTCTTGCGCATGGCTATGCCATATCCCTTCTCGTCCAGCGCGTCGCCGATCTTCTTCAGATTGCACTCCCGCTTCGTGTTGTACTCAATCGATGTGGACTCCATCAGAAAGGCGTAGTGGGTGCTGGTCTTCACTCGCAATACGCCCTCTTGGTTGTCCTCCGTTAGGTGCTCGGGATGCTCGGTCATGAATTGGTTCATCTTCTTGTAGCGATCATCCTCGGATGTCTAAAATAAAACACATTTAACCGATCATTTTCGGCACCCCGAATATCTTGTAATTACCAAAAAGAAGTTCCTCGTGGAGCCCGTTCGTTTGGCTCCGTAGACAACACCATCTTTGTTGTCAGCCAGATCGTCAACGCTGTTGATCAAACTCTGCGGCTTTTCAATTGTCAAGAAAGCAGCTAAATTGGCGGTATATGAGGACACAACAATCAGGGTAAAGAACAGCCAGAAAGTGGCCACCGTTCGAGTGGACAGGGCTCTGCAAAAAGATTAAGAATGGCCTTAAAATAAGACTTAAATGAGGCTGTTGCGAACCTACTTTGGTCCGATTTCCGAACCCTGCTGGAGCAGAGCGCCCGTGGTAAACCAAATGGAATTGCCAATAGTAAACTGATTCTCCAGCTCTTCTGGCTCCTCAATGCACGGATATGGATTGTCCCATTCGCTCGGCGATAAGCGACCCAATATGAAGAAGCTCAAAGCTACGCCCAAAAAGGAAAAACCCAGGAACCACCACACCTCTTCGGAGAAGGGATCCATGAACGTAAAGAGCTCAGGAGTGGCCTTCTGTGGCTTCAAGTAGAGAATGGCAATGCCTAAAAGAATTCTGTACATTAAAAGATGAAGTTTTAAGGGGGTTTAGACAGGTGGAACATACCCAGATTCATGAAAGGTATCGTAAAGTCAATCGCCTCTTCACGCTCCGAGGTAATGGTCAAGTCTGTGATGGCCAAGTCGGCGCGCTGTAATCAAATGGAAGATGAATGGAAATGAATGATTATGAAACTTTGCTCTCACCCCCATCATAATCTCCCTCAACATGCCCGTGGATTCGTTGGAGGTCTTGTTATACGATCCATAATCATTGCCACCGTTCACAAAGGTAAAGTTGAAGCCCAGTTTGTCGGCCAGCTCCTTGATCAGATCCACTCCGTAGCCCTCGTACTGACTGTTTCCCTCCAGCTGCTTGAATGTCTCCACCAGCTGTGCATAGGGCTTGTTCTAATGGATGAATGATCAGATTTAAATTGTCCATATAGAATTAATGTCTATCTTTTGCTTACCGGCACCGAAAGCAACACAATAAATGTTTTGTTGGCCAGCGAGTTGTCAATGTTGTCGAACTGGGCTGTGGTGGCCGCCAGGCGTTGGGCTCTGTATTCGCGCTGTTCGTCCCAAGTGCCCACCTTGACAATACCCGAGGGCTGCAGCTCAATGACATCCAGGTGATATCCTTTGCGGACATTTCCCTCAAAAAAAATGGGTCCGGTGAGCAGGCGATCAGTGAGACGCAGCTAACGAATATAATTTAAATATTCCTATTCATTAGTTCGTTCTGCCTCCACTCACCGTTCGCATATAGTTCTTGAAGGAGGAACCATCATCCCGGACACTCTCTGTGCGCTGGGAGCAGTTCTGTGGGACTGGCTTGAATGGCAGATTCTTCAGCGTCTCTGCGAATAGCTGAACGGCATCGTAGGTGAGAGCCATTTCCACGGTGATGGGACAGGAGCCTTCGAAAATGTTTTAAATTTAGCTAAAGGTACTACCGATGGGTTGATAAATAGTTGACTACCATTTCGAAACTCATCCTGATCACTGGGGTAGCCCAATTTCATGAGCAGCTCCTTGACGGCCATTTTCTCGGGCGAGAAGAGGCGCAGCCCTGTTATATTGGCCTCACTGTACTTGTATTCCTCCAGCTCAAACGAGTGAAAGTCAAGGTTTCCAATTATGTACTTGTAGTCCTCATTGATGATGCCCACCTGTTGCGCCTGATTCAGAAACTCTGGCATTGTCTCACTGGAGCCCACGACCACAATTCGATTATCCACGGACTTTCTCACCCGCCGCAGAACCTGCTTGTAATTGCCATTCAAATGCATGTCATAGCGCAGCACCGTGACCACGGGCCCGTTCATCCCAAACAGCGTGGTTAGTTCATTCAGAATATTTAGATAATCGGCTGAAAGCGGAAAAATAAATTATGGCACGAGAATCAATAGCAGACAATGGAAGCATACCCGATTCGTAGAGGAATATGAATCGTGTCCAGTTGAACTCGGTGATGAGGCTGTAGAGCGCCTTGGCAAGATCCGTTGGATGTGGATGCAGATTGAAGCCCTCGGCATACTCGCTCATATAGGAGTAAATGTGCGGAATGTCCATGGCATCGCATATGGACATCAGATGGACGGCAGTGTGCCGCGAAGAGGGTCCAAAGACACCCGCAATGCCCGTCTTCGAATAAAAAGAAATTTAATTACTTGCGAGTACTAATCCAGATTGGAAGTAGGCTATTGAACTACCTCCATCATCCGGCAGAGTCGACCGTAGCTCTGATAGGCATCGCCATAGTTAACCTCCGCCTTGAGGGATGTCAGCGTTGTGCCCACCTCCTGGTTGGCTACATCGATGGCATGATCGAAGACAATATTCATTTGCTCCGTATTCTGGTCGGTGAGCAGACCTTAAAAATGTGGAATGATTTATTGCCGCTCTTGCCGGTTGGTTTGTTTATAAACAAAATTTTGACCTCATCGAGCAGCGGTCTATCGCCCATTCTGCTCGGAGACCCAAACCCAAACAAAACAAACAAATCGAAATACATACTAAAATACGTTTTTATGAGCTTTCGGCGTTGATGGAACGAACAGCTTGTTAAAAATAAATCGCCCATTGCGAACGGTTTGTTATGAGCTAAATTAAACAAGAGCAAAGAAAACTCACTCGCGCGACACACATATTTTTCGGTGGATTTTTTTCCCCTCGATTTTCGGAATTACTTACCAATGGGGACACTTCCCAAGTTTTGGAAGCTGTCGTAGCTGCTGCTGCTGCTGCTGCCATAGCCCTCGTATTGAGCGCTGTGCAGCGAAACTCGGCAAAAAATAATGACGAACAAAGTGAAAATATGTTTGCTAAACATTTTAATAGTTATTGTACATATCATATAAATAAAAAATGTATATGTACGTTTAAAATCCACACAAAAATATAATACAGAAAGATGCGTCCATTCGGAATTCCGCCGCACACTTGAAGAGAGGAGAAGAGCCGCAACACAACTGACAGATCGAATGGATGCTTTCAAAATGCCAAAATTTGGAAATATTTTTGAGTGAAAGTTGCCCAAAGCTTCTGGGAAAAGTTTTGAAAGAAAACTGAGTGCCAGCAGTCGCATATACTCTCGTATGTAACTCAAATATCAATCATCCTGCTCGGCTGGCACATTATCCTCGGAATCCGTTTTCAACGACTCTATGGAGTGGGAGGAGTTGCGGCTGCGGGAATAAACTGATTGGGCGCTCTTCAGGGCACGCTCGTTCTCCGAGAAACGGATGACAAATTTAAACTCCTCAACCAGAGCAGCACAAAAGGGCACCTGAAAGGAAGCAACTGTGAGAGATCTGGTTTGGCTGTAAAAGGTTGTGTAGATGTTTTACCTCATAGCTTTTGGCCTTCTTGAATACGAAAATGCACCAGCAGAAGATGGAAAAGAGGATGGAGATGATGGTGCCAACGGCCAGCACAGCATAGATACCACTCAGATTGTCCACACCCAGCTCTGAAGGACCATCGGAACTGCTTTTGGCCTAGAGCACACACACGAATGTAACGATGGAACAGCTGGCTGTTGTAATACTCGCAAAAACTTACACTGCAGACTCCGGCTCCGATCTCATTCCACCATTTGTTCTTGAGCCTGGCCAGCACACCTTGCTCCTGCAGCTCCAGCAGTGCGTTGTTGAACTTGTCGCGATATGGCCAATCTGAAATGAGTATGCCATAGCTTGCAGCTGATTCGTGGGGATCTAGTTCTGGTCACATACTTTTCACCATGGCTATGCCGTAGCCCTTTTCATCCAGTGCGTCCCCCACTTTGGTTAGATTGCACTCCCTCACCGTATTGAACTCAATGGAGGTGGATTCCATGAGGAAGGCGTACTTGTTGCCAGACTTTACCTTTTCCACCCCATCCTGATTGTTGTCCAGCAACATGGACGGATTGTTGGTCATGTATTCGTTCATTTTCATGTAGATGGGATCTTCAGAGGTCTGTGGAAATCGATGTTAATTAAAGTCATTCCCTTGCAGAATATATGACGTCCTACTAGAAAGAAATTCCGTGTGGATCCTGTGCGCTTTGCCCCATACTGAACATCCTCCTTGTTGTCGGCCAAATCCTCAACGCTATTAATGGGACTGGTTGGGTTTTCGAT